GTTGGACTTAGTTTACCCGCGTTGGCTGCCTTTGTAGATTAAAAAACCCTTTTAAGCACGAAGTCCCCAGTTTTGAAATATCGCAATCGTGCTTTCCTATTGTAATATCGTTCGATCACTTGCTTTTGTGCTGCCATCCTTATTAATGCGGCTTCTCTTCTTCCTTCGAGCAAATCAAGGTTTACCCGCATTTCTTCACCATTTGATTCTTCCGTTGCCTGAGCATATCGTGTGCTCGGTTCTCCTATTTCAACTGGGATTAAGGCTTCTGCACCATAAACCATTGAAAATGGTGTTTCTCCCGTGCTTGTTTTTGTCGTTGTACGATAAGCCCATAATACTCCAGGCAATACCTCAGGCCAATTACCTTTTGAATCTTGTAACCTTTTCTTCAAGTTGTTAATAATGACCTTGTTCGTTGATTCTGCTTGCCCATTGCCTACTGGGTGATAAGGTGTAGATGTGATTCTTTTAGTTTGCCAGCTCTCAAAAAACTCAGTGACTTGAGCTCCGATAAATTGAGGGCCATTGTCGCAAACAATCTCCTTTGGCACACCAAATCGACATATGATATTACGCCAAATGAAGTCTTTGACCTCCTTTTCTCGTACCTGTTTAAATGCTCCCGCTTCTACCCATTTAGTGAAATAATCAGTAAGTACAAGTAGAAACTTCACCTGACCTTTTGCTTGTGGTAATGGACCTACGATATCCATCCCCCATTTCATAAAGGGCCACGGAGCTATGACGGTATGCAGTAACTCAGCTGGTCTATGCATATTATTTCCGTACCTTTGACATTTATCACATTTAGACACGAAATTGTTTGCTTCCTCTTCCATCTTAGGCCAATAATACCCAGCTCGAATCAATGTTTTTACCAACGACCTTCCTCCCGCATGGTTTCCACAATGTCCTTCATGTATTTCTCTCATTACATATTCTGTTTGGGAAGGTCCAAGACACCTTGCTAATGGACCATCGAACATCTTTCGATAAAGGTTTCCTTGATATAAACAGTAACGAGCAGCCTTTTTACGAAGCGCGTGTGCCTTCCTTTTGTCATCAGGTATGGTTCCATACTGCAGAAAAGCAACAATCTCGTTTCTCCAATCCCAGGTCAAATTATTAAAATTTACCTCATTCTTATCAGGCTCGAGAATGGAATGGAATAAATGTACAACTGAAGCATTTGCATCTTTTGCCACGTCTGCTGCAGATGCGAGATTGGCTAAAGCATCTGCCTATAAATTCTCATCTCTTGGTATCTGCACAACTTTCCACGTCTGAAACTGCTTTATTAATTCACGTACTTTTCCTATGTATTCTTGCATTCGTGATTCCCTAGCCGCATAAGTCCCCAGCATCTGGTTAACAACAAGTTGTGAATCACTCTTGATTATAATTTGGGTTATGCCAAGTTCCCGAGCCAATTCCAAACCTGCAATGACAGCTTCATATTCTGCTTCATTGTTAGTTATCGAATGACACTTTATAGCTTGTCTAATAGTTTCACCCGTGGGTGGTACGAGAACTATTCCTAAACCTGCGCCTTTTAGGTTAGATGAACTGTCAGTGAATAAAACCCAAGTCCCCGGGTTTGCACCGTTAAAAACTTTTAATTCTTTTTCAGCTTCTAATTGCATCCCCTGACTGAAATCAGCTACGAAATCAGCTAATACCTGAGATTTTATAGCAGTTCTAGGTTGATAAGTGATGTCGTACTCACTTAATTCTATAGTCCATTTCGCTAATCTACCTGATAATTCATGTTTATGTAAAATGTTTCGTAATGGAAAAGCAGTAACCACAGCAATGGGATGACATTGAAAGTAAGGTCTTAATTTTCTAGATGCCATAATCAAGGCTAGCGCTAATTTTTCTAATTGCGGGTACCGTGTTTCTGCATCTAGCAAAGACTTGCTTACATAATAGATAGGAGATTGTTTACCTTGATCCTCCCGAGCTAAAACAGCACTTACCGCAACTTCTGACACGGCAAGATAAATGAGTAACTTCTCTCCTACCTTTGGTTTCGCCAACAACGGTGGATTTGACAAATATACTTTCAGATTCTTAAGTGCTTGCTGACAATCTTCATTCCATTCAAAATGATCGTGTTTCTTTAAAGCTGAGAAAAATTTGAAGCATTTTTCTGAAGATTTGGAAATGAATCTTCGCAAAGCTGCAATTCTCCCGGTTAATCTTTGAACCTCTTTCTTGTTAGAAAGTATATCTGGAATTTCTTCAATGGCCTTAATCTGTGCAGGATTCACTT